AAGATAGTGATATTTTTAACTTTTAATTCTGTCACATAATAACAAATGAATTAATTTTCTTGCAAAGTGTATACAGTTACTTGAACATTATGTATACCTTCGTGAATATGTTATCGTTGAACTTCTATTTTTATAAAATGATGTTAAATAATACATAAAGAACAAGGCTGTTTTATATATTTAAAAATTTTATACATGCTTGTAGTTTTAAAAACAATTTTATCTTATCACTTTTTATTAATGTATTATTACTGCTTATTAGTACTCATGTATTTATAAGATATGTTGCAGGATCTGGAGATTGACATCGCATTGTTCACCTATATAAGAAGGGACTGTAAAGCACATTTGTTAATTGCAATTGAAAGAAACAGGTGGGAAGAGATTTTCAGCAGGGAGAAAATTAAAGAGAGTAGAAGTGAGGGTTCAGTGCTACAATAGTAAATGCAGTGGTTGAAGGAGATATGGACCCATCAATGTTTGTTGCATACACCCCTCAAACAAACGGCGTTCCACTGGAGTCCAAGCTTGCTACCTACATGGTAGTGTACTACTCACCTGCAATTTATTTGAGGAGAGTCAATTCTTAGTAAAAGCTTCCATTTTGTATTATATGATTAGATATATTGATGAATGAAATATATTAATAAATGACAACAAAGATATACATCTACATAATTTTTTTATTATGCATTTTTGGAATAGAATCGTCAGAGCCCAGCGGTAACTCTAAGTACCACAGCAGTTACAAAACACTTGTCAAACCTTTCTCTGGATTCACAGAAAAAGGTAACTGCCAGTCCAGAATTTGTACCTGGAAGGGGTCTTACTAGTAGTAACAGCAGTTCTCCAAATCTTTTCAATAATTCTTATCATTCGCAAGAAAATGTGGGTGGTACTACTTATTTTTACCTTGGAAATGCAGCAACTGATACTGTTGGAGCTGAGGAAGGAACAGAAAGTGTAAGCAGTTTCAAAAATTTATTAGAAATTTTTTATAATTTTCATCAAGTTAATTAATCACCTAATTATTTATTGTTAGATTGGAAGTGTAGGAGCAGGTCAGGTAGGCTATGTTTATCCAGGTACACCTGCACATCTCCAGCCAGTGAAACCTACAAAACCCCCATCATCTAATAGTTCTTCTGCCCCCTCAACCCCACCTCCACAAGCAACACCCAGTTTCTTTGTCAGTGAGAGTTTACGAATGGACATTCTTCAAAAAAATGCTTTAACATTAGCACAACCTGATGTAGTACGATTTCCCGATTTACCAAATGAGGTAGACAATTATCATGAGTTGTGTCCACTGGAACCAATTCATAAACCTGCTTCAACAATGCTTGGATATCAAACTTCAACGTACAAAGCTACCAGCATTAAAAGCGGTACGCGTTATTGTTTACGTCGCATTCATGGTGAGTTCTTCGATATTGTTGCTAGTTATATAATCACGTATGAAATGTATGAGACTGGTATTGAAATAAGCGTTTAATATGTTTTTAGATTTCAGACTTGCTAATACAAAATGTATGGTGCTGGTAGATATGTGGAAGCGATTATCGCATACCAATCTGGTGCAATTAAGAGAAGTTTTTACCACCAAGGCCTTTGGTGACCATTGTCTGTATTAATATATTGAAAACGATCACGTAAATATACGTTTATGAAATGACTTTATTATTTCAGCCATGGTATTTGTTTACGATTATCACCCCGGATCGGAAACATTATTAAATAAGCATTTCTCAGCCACTGAATTAAATGGTTATACGGATCCATTTTCTTCGGATCCGAACGCCCCTCGACCTTATAGTCATACTAAGAACACTATTTTGAGACAACAACATAGCAGTATGCTACCAGAAAGTGTCATATGGAGCTACATAATTCAACTCACTGCCGCACTCCGTGTTATACATGCTGCTGGTTTGTATGAATCAATAATATTTTTCCATTTGTTTTGTTTATTTTCCAGATAATTGCACAAGTTTTTATTTCAATACATTTTATAGGTCTAGCCTACAGATGTTTAGATCCTACGAAAGTCTTACTCACGTCGCGAACGAGACTTCGTTTAAGTTGTGTAGCTATACCAGATGTTGTTACTTTCGATGGAAACGCAGCAAATCCACTCTCGCTTATACCACACTACCAGCAAGAAGATTTAATCGCCCTAGGAAAGTTGGTGTTGGCATTAGCATGTCGCAGTCTCCTTGCCGTCCATCGCGATAACATGCAAGCTTCCCTTGAGCTCGTCGCGCGTTCCTATTCCACGGATCTTCGAAACCTCATTCTGTTTGTATACATTTTATCCTTCTCCACTTTCGATGAAAGAAAAAGGAATATATCTTACGTAACACGGTTCACCTATGTTCATGTCGATATGTATGTTCATATTACAAATATCATTTTATAGGTATTTACTTTCTAATCAAGCACGAAGAAGTGTAACAGATCTCATGCCGATGATTGGAGCACGATTTTATACGCAATTAGATGCAGCTCAGCTTCGATCCGACGTATTGGAAAATGAACTTGCCAAGGAACTGGAAAACGGGCGATTATTTAAGTTACTTGTAAAGTTGGCTACTATTAATGAACGACCCGAGCTTAATATGGAACCTACGTGGGCAGAGACGGGTGATCGGTACATGCTCAAATTGTTTAGGGATTATGTTTTCCACCAGGTAGCGGCTGATGGAAGACCGTGGTTGGATATGGCACATGTTGTATCTTGTTTAAATAAGTTGGATTCTGGTTCTCAAGATAAGGTATACTTTTTTTTTCTAAATCATATGTTCGGGTTCTAATTTTTTTTTCCTTAGAGACAATTTCAATTTTTTAATCATATATAAAATGTGTATTTCTGAGTATGTTCTTTGAAACCTTATAGATATGTTTGATGTCACGAGATGAGCAAAGTGTATTAGTAGTAAGTTACGCAGAATTACGACAATGTTTGGAAACCTCATTTGGAGAGCTGGTACAATCCGCGAAAGACGCTGTCTAGGTCTGTGTCACATTTTTTTCAGCTGACCAGACAGTGCATACTCCGAACCATAAATGTGATAACACCACTTAGCGGTACTATCATTTTAATCTTTATCAAGACATAGGAGAGTGAGATTTGGCCCGAAAGTTAAGTTTGGTGATAAGAAAATAGTACGTGTACCAGTTTGTAAGCGTGGCTGCAAGTGTTGAATCATTAGATACGTGCAAAAAAATTGCATTCTGGTACTGCCATTTGAATGTAATATATGTGTGTAAGGAGATCATGTGATTGATGTAAATCAGAAAGCGTTTGAATTTGCTGTGGAAGCTATTACGGTACTATACAAACAAACAAACAAACAAAACAAAACAACAAATTGCACACAACTTAATAATGCAATGAAATCTTAAGAAGTCTTAAGAAAGAAGAAAAACACCTAAACACAGTCAGTGTATAGGATAGATCTTAGTTTTTAGGATACAGCTGATAAGCATTAATTTTGAAATAAATGTTTATTTTTGAAAGCAATCTTAATCAATGCTGTGTGATTATTTTGAATTGTTACATCACCGAAAATTATCATATTTCTATATAACAATTTATTTTCATATAATTTGCTTTTTCCAATAACAAAAAGTTTCCAAATTCTCCTCTAAAACGGTGTATTTGGTACTCGTAGAAATCTGGTACTTCGTTTGTTCCAGTTTATCCAGCTGGCAATCTGTAGATTCGGTTCTTGAACTGTCCTATCTCCATTCCCTACCGCTCTCCTCTCTTCGACTGCTGTCCGTAATCACTCAAACTTGATCTCATTTCCTTCGCGCAATTGCACGACCACAGTATGGACAGACTTTTGCACACACACGTTCTCTCAAACATATCATGCACATGGTCGTCGCTAGCATTTTATTCGCAAAATGCAATCTTAAACTTGTGCCTGTATTTTTTAACGTCACGTGTCCTCAGACGATATTTATACATATTTTAAATAACAATTTTCACATATACAACTCACGTGATGACCAAAAATTGCGTAGTTATATATGATTATAATATATGTCACATTATTCCTCATTTCTAATGGTCCGTATCGACGCCCATGCATTTATCCTACGTACGTCCTGTGATGTTCGAATAAGTGTTTAACTTATACGTGCATGCGTGGCTGACCGTGGAGTCGAAATAAAAGGCATATTAGACATCTGTTTCTGTTCTGTTGAAGACACGTCAACTGACTCGGCTGAACCCGTCGTTCTCCACCTAATTGTCTTAATACCGACGTGATTTACTCCCCCGTGCCGTGTCACTTCTGACAATCACTTCTCGTGCACGTATCAACCGTATACACGTAGTATGATCGCGTGTAAGTCTTCATTTTATTCGACATCAACCCGCTAACCCAGAGACGTCACAAGAGCACTGTGCGACATTTTTCTTTTTGTAGCATTCAACTATAATACATTTTTTATAATATCAATACACAAAGATAATACGATTCTAATAATTTTTCTGTTCTTCATTGCATTTTTTTCGAAATATTTTTCATGGCTCATTCATTTTCATATTGCTCTGATAACTATGCTCTCCTGAATAATATTTATTCCTCGAATAATCTGAACAATTTATCATCTCGTAAACCCGATGAAAAATCGATTCTAAACCTATAACGAGATCGTAAAACTCGTGTATTTACGCTTTAAATCCAGTTGCGCTGGTCGTTAAGAAATTCTAAACACCGACGGAGCAGCGAACCCTTGCGCAAGTGATTTTTCTTCTGATCGTCCCACGATCGTGGAACTGGATTGTGCGGAAGGTCGCACGAAAGCATCTTTCAGTGTATGAGTTGAAAAGAGACCGGTCGGTATGCCCCCTGAGCGAGAAACTGCTGCTGTGTTGGCAATTAAGGAACCAGCGAATATATATGACCCAAGTACGGTGAGGAAGAAGGTCCAACTTCTTCTATGTATTCCAAGAAAACCGGGGTGCCAGTGAAACGTGCTCGCGCAATATATGGCGTATACGACCGTCTCGTTCATCTGGTTATTCCCCTTGTCCCTCCGCTCTTGTTGACTTTCGTGAAGGCGAGGTATTTCTTGATAAAAAATTTTTAGCAGAATTCACTTATCGGGCGTGTGGGTTGAATAAGAACGCGCCGTGACTATTGGTCAATGTTGAAGTTCGTTAAAGTGCTTTTTTCCCCCTATAACGGTTAACCGCTTCTCGTCTCGTGACATGCACACGAAGCGTAGTGTGTATGCACCATGTTTTGCATCCGATTCGTTTGAATCGATATTCTTGCATACTCGCACTCGTAGTTTAATCGGCGCATTACAGAGATTAATCTTTTGTTAGATACGAGGGACAAGTTATCGGGTAATATATGTGTGCCGTGGCGAATTTACGTGGCAATGGTAGTAACGTGGTTTACATAGGAAACGAAGCAAGATTTATTAAAATATATTATAGCATTCGTGGTGATACAGTTTAAAAAAATTTTTTTTTCCTTTTATTCTTTTTAATCAACGAATGCAAATACGGGGGAAAAATTAAAATCCCAGCTAGTTTAGTATTCTCTAAATGTCATGGTTACGTAATATCTTGTGAGCAAAATTACTCGTAATCCCCTTGGCCTGAACGGTAAAAAGGGAATGTAACGCAAGGCACGTCGGTAAAAACAAAACTTACGAAACACAAATAGTGGCACGAATTACATTTCCTAATTTAAATCTGAACTCACAGTTACATTTCCTATCCATTCTTCCAGGATACCTTCACTTTATTCCCAATTTTCATTCCAAATTGTTGTATATCGATTTTCTACTTGTCTCCCATAATACACCGTATGCTTGAAATTTACATTCGCTTCTAATAGACTAGCATTGCCACCCCTATTCGTTTGCTTCGTTCGTGAACATTAATCCCTTAAACGATGGTCAAACAATGTTAAAACCTCTAATAATTTCGTCTGTATTCGTCTCGAGGACATTGATCCATATTTACTTTCTAGATTACTCTCGGTTTAATCCTTTCCCCAGCTTCATCTCTTTCTGCTAAATCCCGTCGTTACAAACGATTAGCAACATTATCTCGATAGGGAGGGAGGGATAATATTTATCATTCCAGGAGCTGCAAGCGAAACCGTGGGCAGCGATGTAAAATAGCGGGTCTGGGTACAGGTATATACGTTTGAAAATATCCTTCAGCGCAGCGGAACGATGGGGCGACGCTGGTAACGGCAACCCCGCACCGCTGCTCGCGCGAAGGTTGCTGCTGCTGCGTGGACGTACGACGACGGAGGGATGGTAGAGAGAGGCACACAGAGAGGAAGAGGTCGTGGGTAGCGGGTAGAGCGGCAGTGGCTCCGGCAGCAGCAACACGTAGTACACGGTAGCACCGCGACGAGGACGTACCACGGGTTCTCGTAAGCACGTCGCTTGCTAGTCGGTAGACTCGCTTCGAAGCCAGTCTCTCGCTCTTCGGTCCAGTGGCGCAGTCGCGTTACGCGTATACATTTTTTCGTACCTCCGACAACCACTACCAGCATCGTCACCGCTACACCACTACTACCACTATCAGCAGCGTCGCTGTACCACCGCTACCACCACCTGCACCGTCGAGCGTGTCAACAACACGTAAACGTCAGCAGGACTACCGAGCCATCGGGTTGTTCCTGAGAAAATAAGTCGCGGAAGCTAATTTAACACTTGCATCCTCGAGACGGCACGAGGTATGTTATATTGTTATTTATTTTTTCTCCCTTGGAATTTTTTGCAATTTTACCCGTGTGCGTTGGCGATCGTAAGCGTGAAAATGGTGGGTCTTTACGGTGCTGCGCGAGTTCAGTGGCGGAAGCGATCGCGCGTCGTCCACGAAGACGCGAACGAACGAACGTTGCTGGAGCACCATCGTGCTTCGTTCTACGCGCTCTCCGTATATTCCCATCGATTTTCCACAGCAAGACCCGCCCTGTAATTTACCGTTCTCTCTCGCCCTGTATCTTATGTTGTCTCCTGTTTCGCGTCTACTATTTGAAATCGAATTTTACCTAAGACACTAGGGTGAAACGGCAAAGTATATGATGTTACGACTGTTCATTGAGACACGGTTGTAATTTCCTTGATTATCGAGATGAGTCTGCGGATCCTTTTTTCGGCTAGCGCGCGCGTGTTTGCCGTCGGCGATCGATGGACTCTATCGGCTTCTCTCTTTCACCCTCTATCCACGATTCGTGGCTGGCCGTTTCTTTCTAACGCGATACGTTCGCTAGACAGCCTCTCGGTGGACCACGCGTCTTACATATCGATTCTCGATGGAATAAGGAGATCGAAGTCTGATCGCCGTACTGATGTACTTTCCAGAGACTTTTCTGGTACATCTTAACGAAAAATAGGGGAAATACATATTTATGAATATTTCTGTCCCCTATGAATTTATAACAATTATTTTGTACTTTATGTATTTTCGAATATATACTTTTTATAAGTTCAATTTAACGATAAATTGTATCTTACACATATAAATATATTTTTATTCAAGAAACTTTTATTGAATTTCTATTGGGTTGAAAAGAAAATTTATCGTACCCTTGGAATCGTGAAAGCGATTAACGTGTTTTCGAAGTTTAAAGCTGATTGTTTACGTTCGATATTTTTTGCGCGTTGTTTTTCTCGCGGAGAGGAACGACGAGACATCAGTCTGCATCTCGAATTACAGCCGGGGAACCCCATGAACGGAAAGAATTCATTGGAAGGAACTTTGCCAACGCTTCGGCTACACGCTCCGGCCGACAGTTTGAAAGTAGTTTTTAACTTTTATGCCAGAGATCGAATCTATTGTCGGGATTGAAAACAGCCATAAAAGGTTGTTGAACAGTGAACGCGGTGTCCGAATATATTTTATTCCAAATTTGTTCTTACCGATTGTAAAAATATTTTCGTTTCATTTTTTCTCAATTTTTTCAAGTATCCTTACTGAAAACGTGATATCATCACAAGCTCTATACTTTAATAGAAAGTTCATTTCATTCGCCTACAATGCTTTCTTACAGTTGAGAGATACTTATCTTGGTCAGAATTTAGAACAGGTTCAGTGAAGATCAAATCAAAAATGTAAATTCTTTATTGCTCGAGTAATTAGAATCTCACCGCATTAAGAATTCTCCCTCAAAAGCTTAAAA